TGGTTTCTATAAAGTTACATACGTAGATCATATTTCGGAACAGAAAGATTAAAAAAGGTTTTTGGAGTGGCGGAGGGGAGACAAATTTTCCCTCTTTACGTCTGCCCGCCTCATGTTAAAAGGACCCCTCTTTCAGCAGCATCGGCTTAGCTGCTAATTTTGGCACCTGAGCAGCGAAGCTGGGGAAAAACGTTCACTTAAAATATCTTCTAACCTTGAAAGATTTTAGATGAATACTGAATGCAAATAATTATTTTCACACTTAAAAATACTCTTCAGACTTACTCTTCTAACTTACTTTTACATTATTTTTATTTGTAATATGTCTGACTTTACCACACCGCTAACAAAATAACACATTCCATTAGTACGGCCCACCAGCGGCCGAGCGGTAAAGTCGCTGAACACTGATAGTTCGGTCCGAGGTTCGAATCCCGCGAACGGGCTGGCAGCATGGGTGTTTTCGTGATTTTCCCCATGTGTAACGTGTATACGAGCCAGTTTCCCTTAGAAAGTCCTCCACGAAGGCATCCCTCCTCTTAGGCAGATGTAATTAAATAACCTAACCTAACCTAACTTAACCCTTAGTATGTTTACAGGACTAACTGAAACATTATTTCAGCAAATTATTAGCTCCTTTTACACTTCCTTTTATTTATATAACCATGAAAATAGGAAAAGGCAAATAAAATCTGGTTCACATAAACTCTTTGAGAGAATATAACGAGTTTCACTCTCTGCAAGAAAGAATGATATGTGGCAATATGCGAAGTCAGTATCAAGCGGGATGAATACTTATAGAGAGTAGTCGAAAATCCCTGGCTGGTTAACTCAAGCCATGGTTTACTGCGTTAACACAAAAGTGCTCTAACTGGGAAATCTAATTAGAACACACCTATAGGGTTGAAGATGTCCTCGATTCGTACTCCCAACTTGCATGATTTTGCTTTCAAAGCTAGCGAAATGCTTCCGTTAGACTGGATTGGATTACTTGGATTATGGTAAAACACAAGCGAGGGCTATCTGCCAAAGGGGATGAATGCCTTCATGGAGATCTTTTTAAGGGAAATTGACTCGTATTTAAGTTACACATATGGAAAATAACGAAAGCTCGCACCCAATCCGTTCGCCGGGATCTGAACCCAGGAATTAAACTATAAGTTTGCAGCGATTTTAACGCTCAAGTGGCAGAAGAGCATGCTCTTACTTTGTATATTATAACCATGGCTTGCATGAATATATATTATTTAATGAATAAGTATTTGACCGATATATACTTAACATGACACTTAATCTGTAATCTATAATGTATATTTTATTATTCTTAATTTCCATTATTGTTATCAATTTTCTTGTACCCTAGCGGCTAATTAATAATTTGCGTTACAAATTGTCGCAAACACAAATTAAACTATTTAAGAATTTAGATCGCATCAAAGTATTAAACAGAGGAGTTTGTAACTCTATAGAGAAATTAGGTATTTTTTTTAAGCAGTAGAGATGAAAAATGGGCAATGCCATCACCGGGACTCGAATCACGGACCTCTCAAATACGCGTAGAGCGTGCTGACCACTACACCACGAAGGCATGCTAAGAAGGTGGGAGAAATACATTATATATTCCCCCTTTTAAAGGGCGACTGGGGATTAGGGGACCCAATCGCCAAATCCTGGTGCTGGAGGATCATCATCTACCACCTTTTAGTTTGGGCGCCACAGTAAAGACATTGTAGAATTTTTCGAAACACGGAAATCGAAGATAGGAGCAATGCCCTCGCCGGGACTCGAACCACGCACCTCTCGAATACGCCCGAACGTGCTGACTACTACACCAAGAAGGCATGCTAAGAAGGCGGAAGAAATACCTTATAACCCTAATTCGTATTTGAAACTAAAAAAGTAGTTTTTGGATTCAAAAACCACTTTTCAGTTACAAATACAAATTATAAGATTACAGGGTTAGAAATCATCATAACAAATGGTGTTTCCCATATTTTTCCCATGCAGGTAATATAATGTTCAAAGCATGAAACTGCACTCAGTGCATCTGAAAATTATCATTTAGAATATTAATCCTTAGATTTAAAATGATAGGTGTCCCTTTACTGAAGAATAATAATATGTTTGACATATATTTCTTATTTTAAAAATGCGCAATTACAATACAAAGCTGTACTTGTAACCCAGGACAGAGTTTTTGAGCCTTTTTGCCATTTGCGTTCATAGATGAATGCAAAGAAAACTAGATACTTACTAGGCCGCAGTAAGAAATGTAGTTCAGACCCAGGCAGAACACGCTTTGGGATGACGTGCTACCCCTTCGAAGCAGGTCACACTTGACACCGTTGATCGACTGCACGTCGAGCGAAATTTTATTTTAACGCTTGTAAGGTATATTTTAATTTTATAACAGTTATTTTAATTTCGCTAACCTTTCCTATCATCCCTCGTTTCAACTTACAACTCCTAACCAGAATGAGTTTTTAGAATCGCGTTGAATGCAAATGAGTAATTAGTGGTATTTAAGCTTACTTCGGGAGAGAAGTAATCCTGAGTAGCGCGTTTGCCTTCGAACTAAGTCTCGTTAGAAGCTGTTACGCTCGGCCGTATATTACGTGTTTTTTTATAGTCGCCGGCTAGTTTAAATTAAGGGCCAACTACTATAGATTTGTGTCAGCTATGGCTAAGTCTCTTAGTTATACTTAGTTCTTATTATTAACTTATTTATTATAGTTAGTTCTTATTGATTTCAAGCCCGAATGGAGGCTTTGTTGTAAGCAAAAAAAAAAAAAAAAAGGGGGCCGACTGTTCATCATATTTTTAGTGAAATAAAGAGTAGTTAACCTGTAATGAGTTTACGATTTCTGTTATTTGAACGAAGCAATTAGTCGCTTAGCAGTTCAGTAGGTTCCTCGACATTTACTTTAGTAGAATAAGGGTAAGAAACTCTACACGCTATTAAATGCTATGTGAGCTAAACGAATTCCTAAATTAAGTGTAAAACGACCGCAATTATATAAAACGTTTCATCGTAGAAACCATTTTTAGACGCTGCAAAGTATGAAATAAAAGCATTAACAAGCATTAATGATTTACAGTTTTAGTGGAAAATCCTTTCCTCAGTGATTTGAAATGCATTGTGATTTGCAATTTAGTGCATTCATACTAGAATAATTTTGCAAGCGAATCAATGTAGCAGAGTTTTACTGCGATATCAAGTAACTTAGATGAGCAGGTTTCATGTTACAGGCTCTAGAACAGTGATCGCCAAATCGTCGATCGCGAGCTACGGGGACATTTTTTCTAGATCGCAGTAAAGCTCCGCTTGCTAACCTTGATTCCTCCACTGAGCTAACGCTGACAACTGCTTATTTCTCCCGCGGCAACTGCAATTGTCAGCCTCATCTCATAGTTGGTTGTATAAGCGTGAGATTGTGCGAAAAACATAGCTGTTTTTCGAGTGTATATATTTGCTAACCTTGGATAGTTTGATTTACGCATTGGTACCAAGCTAGGTCTGTTCTAGCGATGGCTCGATCAAGAAAAAAGCAAACAACTTATTACTTTCATTCGGAATGGGAAACCGATCACTTCTTTACCCAGGTAAAGGATAATTGTGTGTGTTGACTGTGTTATGCAAATGTATCAGTTAAGTAAGAAAATAGTGAATTTAAAAAAAAAGAAAAACGCTTCTAAGATTTCAAAAGGATTTTAATTGTTTGTAGAATCGCCTTTTATAAATATTAATGCTGAAGAATTCTTTACTTGTGTTATAGAGCATTTTCATTTTCAAGAAGATATACTGCAGTGGAGTTGGAGCTGACTGATTTTCCAAGGTGATACATCTGTAAAATCGCTCTTTTCAAGCTCTAAAAATATTTTGCCACTTGTTTCCAAAGAAAAATACTCAATTTGGTCCAGGTTTGTCTCAAGTGAAGGCAATATTCAGCTCTACATATCCATGTGAGATTTCTTTTTCCAGTATGAAATTTAAAAATAAGTACAGAAACAGTCTCACTGATGAACACTTGGACAACTGTATTCGAATAGCAGCCACGACATACTCTCCCAACACTAAAAAACTTGTTGATGACACAAAAGAGTTCCATCCTTCTCATTAAAGTTAATAAGTCTGATAAAAAGATTTGTTATTTATTAGTAACTACACTTCAATTTCTTTTTTACGTACAATTTAATTTTAGTTTCTTTTTGTTAAAATTGATTTCATATTTATTAGAAATGTAATCTTATTGGAAATAAAGAAATGGGAGATTTAAAAAAAAAATTGTAGTTCTTTTGGTTGGTAGTTCACAGTAGGATTTAAAAATAGTGCAGTAGCTTAGAAGCTTCGTAAGTTTGGCGACCACTGCTGTAGAACATTGTCCGATCTTTTGAGCAATGAGGTGAAGTAATTGATACTAATTATGGTTAGCATTCTGAGGGTGGTAATTCAGAGTGCTATAAACACTCCATATGCAGAGAAAAAATACCAAGTCAAGTCAGACACTAAAAATGTTGAATTCAGGCAGCCATAACCGCCGAAGGAACCAGGTATGGAAACCAGGAGCTGTGATGACGTAGTAATGACGTCAGAAGCAAGAAAGTGTGATAACCTGAAAGTAAGAAGTTAACAAATAATACCTCTGGACTGGCGGGTGGGGGAGGAGAACTGCACAAATTTGGGGTCATATTTAATTTAGAATAAAGTAGTAAATATTAAGCCAGATATTGAAAATAAAACTGAGATATCAAATGCCACTTCTATTTTTTTAATTATTTTTATTTATTTATTTTTATCCAGCATTTCTACTAGGCATTTATTTGACGTTAAGATATATGAATATCGCTGACAATCAGAATGTAAGCATTTTTGATCGAAGTTGTCTTGAAAGTGAGACATTTTACAGTTCAACCCTTACCAATGCTAATCAAAATAAGAAAAAGAGCTAGAATTTTTATTTTTCTATACATTTTATTCAACAAATAAAGAAAATACTTACCACTAGCACACGTCAGAAGATAAGGATATGCATTTCAAAAGAAGTTTTACAAGCAAAGAGCATTTTTCTTCTTTAATAGATGGAATCTGACATCGTTGAGTCACTGCACACAGAGAGCGTGTATTTATCGTGTACAGTTCCATGTATATGGTTGGTTTTACCGAAATTTTAAAGTAAAAGATATCAGTTTGCCACAGTTTTTGCGTCTCATATATAAAATAATGTACTGTTTTAAGTACACTTATCTTTTTCCGATTTCAGAGACCTGATAATAGTTTTTCATCAGTCTAATATTCATTTTCATGTTTTCTTACTATCTTCTACAATAACACTATAGGAAATGTTCTCTTTCTGCCAATTTCTAATTCTTATAAATGAGTTTTTTTCGCAAGGCTTGTAAAAGAAGACATCAAACGATTGAATATTTAAATTGCCAATCCTTCTTTACAAAAACAATCTTCTCTCTTGTATTCTTAACTGGACACGAAAACACCTAAAATGAAAAAGAAATTCCAGTGAAAATTTATAATTTTAGAATACGGATGAAGTATTATGTAATCAGAGGAAATAATGTACGATTAAATAGATAGAATCAACGTACATCTGTTAAATAATACTACACTTTAACTTACCTCAAAAATCAAAGTAGTCTTCAAAACGTCTGGAGATTTGGTCTTAGACTTGCACCTTACCTTTCCATTCTCACGAAATGGGATGGCCTGAAGAGTCATGATTTTAACAAAAATTAAATTTTTACTTAACTTTATTTTAATAAATTTACGTACAAGTATACTAATTAACAGGTATATATGAAATTTAAAACTACAGTAGGTATGCTATTTTCCAAATTTCCAATTTAAGTTAATCAAAAGATAGTGTTTCACTTCCTCATAGCAGGGGTTGATTTAATGAAGTGAGCACTCGTACTTAGTTAAACAGCTAGAAGAGCTTGCAAATGAAATGCCGTGACTAACTGACAGTACTAACACGTCAATTAAAATAATAGTAATTACAAGTTGCAGAAGTAAAATTATGAGAAGATTTTTGAAATAACTTACATTAATGAGCTTCCACATGCCCTCCGTGAAAATTCGCTTTTTGGAAAGCATATAAAGGCATACATATTGTAATTCAAGAAAGAACGCTGTAATATTAAAGCTTTTCACTGATAAATAGTATCAACAGTAGAAGGATTAGAGAAGGTTTACAGAATTTGCGGATGACTATTAATGTAATGGTAAAAGCACTGGTAGCACTGGACACATTTGCTGCCTGCATACCATTTTGCTCTCAGTTCTCTGCAGCACATTTTATAATTTAATAAACTATTTATTCTTGGTCCATCGTTCGTATTAATCATGAGTACTGAACCCGCAGATACAGAACCACGACCGCATGTATAGCATAAATTTGTAATTATACATTTGTAAAGCCTCTAAATCCTATTTTTAACTATATTTTTCCATCAAATTACATCTATTTGAATATTTGCCATGCCAAATTATATTTTTAACTTGCCAGCTCTAACACCAGAAATATTTTCTAATAGTTGTCCAGAAAAAACTAAAAACTTCAGACAAAGCTAATTTATTTTTGTGATCCGTTACCCTTTTCTCATGCATTACATTAATGCGAAAATAATATGACAACTTGGTTGCTCTAAAAAGAATCTTCTGGAGTGTTTTTTTTTTTTCGGCGGGGGGGGGTGTTTTCTTGTTCCTTCAATCCTTGGGAATTTTCCCTGTCTCAAACAAAATTAAATAATTCATAAAAAATTTTATTACCATGAACATAATACTATTTAAGATACAAAAGTGTTAGAATTTCTGAAGAGTTCAAGTATCTTAAACACGTTTTTACTACAATTTTTAGATTAAATTTAGTTATAGCACATTTATAATTTAAAAAATTCTCAGTCCGTTAATATCTAAGTATAAAGATTTTTCAGACGAATATTAATCCCTTGTATGTTTTTTCTTAGTTAATCGAAATGTTTGAGATCTCACAGTCTACTATGTGTCAGTAAACATTTTATTATTAATTCTATAAAGACAAAACGGATAGCGGGCGTGTACTACAATTATGATCACTATACACTAAAATGGCCCGTATTCCTCCAAGGGAAATAACTAGTACATTGCATTTCGAAGGTAGAGGCCAAATTTGCATTTTCAGATGTGACTATTTAAAGAATACACCATAACTGCAAAGATTCAGGTAAACAATATGACTTACAGCTTGCAAGAACTGTAAAAAATAACACAACGAGAGATAAACACAACCAGTATCTGTTTACAAGAATCATTTCACGCAACAGGCGTAAAACACTACTTTCAGTAACACAAGAATTCAATGCTGGGAACACAAAAACACTGTCAAAAAGACTACATTTACTTGTTTACATAGACTTTAACAGCCGACAGCCAAACAGAGTAGCCTTGATGAATGCATGATATAAGATTTATGCAACTTGTCTGCATTTGGCAACTATGAATGGGAAAAAAATGGAATATGAATAGTTATAACATAACTTGTCCTGCAAAATCCCGGCTTGTGATCCCAGGCAGCAATCAAGCTCTATCTCTACCATTAATTCTTGGAATGAGTTTGGTGTATTTCAGCTTCGGCTAAATGGTTGGCCCTGCCTATGGTATTTTTCTAAAAATATGCTTGTAAGGATGTATGCAGGATTTAAAAGCCCCCTGTAAACAATATATATGCTTCCACCGGCGAAAACCTTTGCACGTCCTACCATAATTAGGGAATTAATCTAGCATAGTAATTAATAAGTTATTTATCCAGCAGGTATCATTTGGAGGGCTTTCGATTAGAATTGGGTTGGGAGATAGCTCTCGTGGGTGTTCTTTACTGTTAAATAAATAATTCAGTTCAGTCTTACTCTAGCAATATAATATTTCTGATAATTTTCCTCTCTTACTAAAACCTGACGTAGAAGCTTGAAAAATGGGCCACTAGAGCAAAAGTCCACAATCATTGCAAAAATATCCAATTGGATGAAGAAATACTCATTTCCCCCTTGTACAGTTCAACCAGATTGTTCATTCACTCTCTCATCAAACACGGCAAAAATCTTTCCAAGGATTTCCAAAAAGGCTTTACTGTTTTCTGCCACAAGAAACATTGACACTCGGAAACGAAATACGGTTAATCCCAGCAAACCGCACAATGATTTATTCCCGCGTCCAACTCATTTAGATATATGGTTAGAAACTGAGAAGTGAAAACAGAAAATAAACCATCCTTCACCGACTCGTTATTCATTTTTGAAGTAACTTTCGAAGCTTATACCTCTACGTCTGTCATTAGAGCAAGCAGCTGTTCAGATGGTAGCTTCTTCTTTATAAAATATCTTCTGTATTTATAAATGATAATCGGAGCTGTACCTTTATTTTTTCACCTAAGGCATATAGATAAATATGAGCTCCTAGCTACGATAGAAAATTAAATAAATATGTGACCTTTTTTTTTCTTGTAAAACATTTAAGATACTAATTTTAAATTATATGACTGTAAATGTTAGGAGTAAGTTAAACAGCACTTTTATTCTAAGAAAACACATAAAAGAGGGGAAAAAACTATAGATAATACAGTCAGAATTATAAATTACACAGAAATATGACCTTAAATTTCATGTGTTTCTATAAGATACGTTTTCTTGCTTTTAACGAAGCAAAGTCATCAATATGATTTTTGAAATCTGCTTATTACTTAATTGACGCTCCACAGACAGAAAATTTTTGTGACTATATGAAGTTCAAAAATAGTTCTTAGTTTGCTAAAGTTTCTTTCAACGTTTTAAAAAACAAACTATTATCACTACTTCAGCTGTTGTGAATTCAGCTGATATTAATTATCACACTAGATTTCTCTCAGTCGATTTCTTGAAATTCATAAATAAGTGAATCGCCAGTTCAATAAACAAACAAGTGCCAAAATATTTGCTGGCTTCCAAAATACATGCTGTTTGAAAGAGAAAGATACAGTGTAAATAAATCAGGTAATTTTTCGCCACTTTGATAAGGGGAAAAATTAGATTTTTATCATATTTACCAACTACCAGAAGGTAATTCAATAGCTGACCGCTCACAATAATGGTAATGGCTAAGTCCCTCAGTAACTTTAACTCCCTTTCAACAATCAATAGACTATCATATTTACACTGTCTTATTGACATATTAATCAGCTTGAATATCGGATCTTCCAGTCGAATAAGAGTTTTGTATAACTTGGTCATCACTAGTTCTACAAATGGCGATAGTGGTTTCTAATCTTAAGATAAAGAATATCTTTTAAAGAAGATTAAAAATCTTAAGGAAAGATGAAGACTTGAGATAAAGAGTGAGTAACCAAATGTTAAACAAAACAACAACAAACAAACAAAATATTTTGAATATAGCTAGCTATAAAAAATGCCTTTTTACTGCAAAAGCGTCACAGCGAAGTTCCTGCATTTTTCAGCAGAATCAGCACATAGTCATAAGGATCTCATATATCACAATAAAATACATATCATTACGAAAATAAGTATCTCTCACATTTTGTATATTTTTTTCTTCGTACAAAAGATTTGTGTGGCGTTTTTCACTTGTCATCCAGCATAGTCCGAAGGGGGAAATAAATTATCATTTGTTTTAAATTAGGAGTACATTATTACTGAACTTAGGGTATTGAAATGCTTTCAGCTTGCTATGAAATTAGAAAGCTGTAAATTTACTTTTTAAGTGAAATTTATATTTTAAATGAAACTATTTTGTAACGAAATCTTAAATTTGTATGTTTGTGATTTTTTGAGATTTAGCCAAGGGATCTTCTTCCTTTAGAAATAGTAATAATGTAAGTAGCTTTCTCTTTTTTTTTTCTATAAAATTGCAATGTCTTACGTTCGACTGGATTTAAATGGGAAAAAAAAAACAGAATAGATTATGTCTTGGAGATTTATATAAACTTCCTCCACACGAAATGGTATTTATGGTAAGACTTTTCAGTTACTTATTCTGATCATAAATCGTGTATCAGAGAGTAAAAAACTAAATAACGCTTGAATAGCCAGTTGCAGCAACTAAAAAACTCGCAGTTTTATTGAACATAATTTTCAGAATTTTAAACAACAAGAAAGAAGTCGAAAAATCAGACCTTTTCAAATTTCATTGCATTCCATGCTAAAATAAGTTTTAGACTTGTGTACTATCCAAAGAGGAAACTTATTAATTATCTGCATACTTAGTCTAGCAGTTATCAACATCTTATTTTCTAAGTTACAGCAGTAATATATTAGTAAGATCTGCAACTACGGCCAAGTCATCGGTACGTAATATTATATTACGTATGGATGACTTGGCCGTAGTAGGTATTTATACAGTGGGTAAATAGAAATTACGAAGTTCCGAAAGCAATACGGAAAAATAATTATTAATATTTCTCATAAAAATCAGTTTATCATAAAATTTTATTCATTCGGTTATATCACCATTTTTTTCTTTTGTTTTTTCCTCCCTAAGCTGCATCATAAGTATGTCTATTACTACAAGGGTAAGTGCTTTCTTCCCCATAGATTCTATGGGAAAGAAAGCGCTTACCCTTAATGTAACAAAGAATTAAGTATATTGAAAGAAAAAACAACATTCGTGTCTCTTTTCTTATGAAACAAAAACAATTATTCGTAAATTTACAGTACTCTGTTTTTGAATGTTAAAAATCTAACAGGTCATAGAAATCACAGCGTTGAGCTAGAATGCACACTAGAAATGAAATTTAAAACGATAGATAAATTTAAGATGAAATATGGGCAGGGCAACTGGCCATACTCATTGAAGAAAAGGGCTCGTCATCAGCTGGAAATCCAAGAATCCGAACAAAATACTAATTCTTCTGCTAAGCGTCGCAACTTACAAGGATGCCCGAACATCAACTATATATTTAAAAAATGATCTCGACGCCCTGCTGTAACTGAATTGGCCATAAAAGAAGTCATTGTTTTCCACTGGCGGGAATGATGTCATAATGTGAGCGCAGCGCTATCTGGAGTACAACTGGAGCAACAACAACAGCTGTACTAGCAACGCTACGATTTCTTTAGCAAAAACATTTCGACCCCTTATCTACGAGGAAGCCTCCGAAGCGAGATCGTCGGAGATGTCACACAGCTAAAATTGTTTTACGCGTTAGAATTCGGTCGGGAGAAATCAAAATAAAAACAATGTTGCCAAATCGGAATGTTCAGCAGTTTAATACCCCAAACAAAAGTTTTCATGCTTAAGATTATTCAAAAATTATTCAAAACAGTTTTAACTTTTATCAGGCATCAAATAAATATAAAAGCAGAAAATGTACATTAAATGAAAATATTGATTACCTTAAGCAAATAAAATAAGATTAAGATTCCGGGGATATATCATTTATTTCGGTATACGCGTATTCAGAGCGGTAATTAACACAGAAAGGGTAAAGTTAATCCACCATAGGTAAGTGCGTCTACCATCATTAATAAGAATTAATCCACCACCATTAGTAAGCAATAATGCTATGCGCAACAATAATTCAAAAATAATGAAAACTCTTAAGTTACAATGAAGAAAAATGCATAAGCTAATCTGGAAGTTAATTCTTTTAGTTATTGTAAGTGTATTCTTTAGTTAATGTTAAGCCTTGAAAGGGTAAAGATAAAATAGTGATTGCTTTGCAAAATATGAAGTCAGAATCAGAAATATGAATATCAGAAATTTAACGGCAAAAACTTTCAAAGATACTTAAACTCATTGTATGGTTTAAAAAGCATTAAATTTCCCAAAATCTGGAGTTAGACCTTGGCAGGGTAACACAAGCTGTTTCGCCACATGTTCCACTCCCTGGATAAAAGAAGTGGCAAATTCAACCCTATGGGGACAAACGGGACATATATGTCCCACTAAAAGTTTAAAAATTACTGCTGGATTAAAAAGTACTTAGAATCTCCTGGATGTTGGGGGTCATCTTCCAATAGTTGGAAAAATTACTGCTGGGTTAAAAAGTACTTAGAACCTCCTGGATGTTGGGGATCATCTTCAAATAGTTGGAAAATTAAGACGCGCTGGGATCGTTGTATACAAATGAACATAGAGAAAAGAACAAATATGAGTTACCCCATGTGTAATGTTCGGTTATGCAAAGGATGCTTTACCCTGCACCATACGATGTAAAAGCTATTTCATATAATAAAGTTTTCCAGTATAATAGGTGCGCTTATCGCTACTTTAAGCCGATCGCTACGCGTGGGACATTACCTACGACTGGGACACATATGTCTTTGGCTTGAAAATCGTTTACCAAAAAAATCCCAAATGCTAAATTTACCTTATTTTTGACATATTTTGTTAAATTGGATGGGAAACGGGATATTGTTTTTTAATTCATAAAACCGTTCTACTTCATCCTTTAGCATCCCTTTTTAATTTTTAATTTTCCGTTTCATCCTCTGCTCAGAAAGTCACTGTCTGAGACAATAAGTATTCAGTTTCGTTAATTACTTTATAACAAACCTTCTTTTTAAATAATTTCGTGTAACAATATTAAAACAATTTTAAAACGACTGGAAGCTGTAGCTTTTTTAAAAAAGATTCCGGGCAATTATTAATTGTGAAGGTTTTTCAAAGGGATTTAAGAATAGATAACTACACAGAAGTCTTACATGGTTCATCAAATGACTGAAATGAAGTTTTGAGTCACATGTACAAGCAACAACCCAGATGCACAAATCCTGTAGCAGCCTGGCATAACTGTAAAAAAACACCACTAGGAAACTAAAGATTGATAAAACTAAAAGATACTTAAACTCACTGTATGGTTTAAAATGCATTAAATTTCCCAAAATCTGGAGTTAGACCTTGGCAGGGTAACACAAGCTGTTTCGCCACATGTTCCACTCCCTGGATAAAAAAAAGTGGCAAATTCAACAGATTAGACAAATTAGATTAGACAGGTTAACAGATTAGAGTATTTAATAATTCTCAGAAAAAAAGAAGGTACCCAGTCTTATGGCTTTCTAACGATTACAATACCCACCATTGGCCAAGTGGTAAACCGCTGAACTCTGCCAGTTCCATCCGTATTCGAATATTCGCAAATGGGCTGGCTACATATGGCTTTTCTCATGTATAACACGAATACGAACAGATTCTTCGTAGAACCAAGAAGGATCCCTTATAGTTAGATAAGTTCCCTTATAGTTAGATGTACTACTCGCGAGCTATAAGTAGATCCCTTATAGCTCGCGAAGCAGACATCACTCGCGAGCTCTGCCATAGTTGATTAAACAAACACTCAAAGAATGTAGTCTTCTAAAACAATCCAGTGAAAATACATTAACTTAAACAAAATCACTAAGGATACAGTTCAAATTTTGGAATCGTCTGAAAGAACCTTTTCCGAATGCTTATGTGTCTTCAACTTGTGAAACTAAGCGGTCCTACTAGTCATGTATATTTCTTATAATTAATTGCAAATTGCTGCTTAGAAGTCACAAGTACTTTTTTATTGTTATTTAGCAGCTAATGCTATAAATAGCTCAATCCTCTCGGGTCTTACCGAAACATGGCTCTATTGCCTTCACTTATTTTATGTATAAAATTAGTGGGGAAAAATTGTGCTACAGAATTATATTATTGCTGTCTCTAACAAAGTATTTTCCACAGAAGGTAAAATGGGAAATAGTCAACAGAAGTTTTTTAAACGACACGATTTTCAGCAGCGAATGAAATGGGAAATGATAAAACCACCAAATCAAGCAAGTTTAAAACACAAAAGTGGCTGTTTGCATCTCATTACTTTTACATATATTTAACATAGTCACTAATGAGATTCTTTAAAACAGAATTTTCTTCCTACACAGCTATGTTTCATTTTCACTTTTAAGAATCGGTATAATGATACCTTTAAAATAACCATTTATGAAAGGGACCGATAGAGTTACGGTATGGGATGAACAGCTGTGTGTCTAATAAAGTGCAATAACATCCCTCATAACCAGCAATATTAAAATAACGGCACTTTTGAAGGCCTAAATTTAAATCCGAAATTCATACCTCTATGAGATAAAAAAATATGTAATGAGTGAATAATCAGAAGCGTTAACTGCAGAAAACATTTGTGTTATGTTTCTGCGCAGTCATCGGTCACTTAATATACTTTGATGTGTGAACTCTGAAGATAGTGTCTATGAATTTCAGAAACAATTCACATTGAAAAGCGCCATATTTACTTTGACTCCTGACAAAGATGTAAAAACTAATACCTTACATCGCTGTTTATATAAACTGTGGCCTACAATCATGTTCGTAGGTGACGAGTCGTGTGACGAAGATTTTTTTTGGTTTAAAAACACGTCCGGCCCCTATATCCGACATTTTGGATTTAATTGCTTGTTGAAGAACAGCTAGTGAAAAGGAGGTGCAGGCTTCAGTGGATATAGACAATTCTGTTCTCGTCACGCTCTCTCAAAATGCCGACGAAATAATCGTGCATGCAGTGGGCAAGTAGAAAGATGAAGAGGAGGATGAAAATGAAGACACGTTGAATAACAGAGTTACGTTAGGAAACTGACGAAAGATTAAATTCTTTCACACGTTTTGCTGAGCACTCTTCAGCCATGTAAAAACATTATGGTACGAAATTTCATTGTTTACACTGCGAATTCTTAACACTCCGGCGACAATTTAGTAAGCATGCAGACATACGAAGTTATATGTCAACAGACTAAGAAATTCATTCCATTATTGGGATAATACATATGATAATTTTAAAACGATGCTTAACTTTGTTTTTCTGAAATGTAAAATCATGTACATATGTTTTAATTTTTTTTTAACATTTAAACATTTGAACACTTTGAAACATTTTGAACGATATTTTGTATTATTTTGTATTATGGTCAATAGATCGAATAATGACAAACGGACTTCGCATGCTGCAGTTTCTACAGATGGAATCACAAAATATGAACGAGTAATGTTTATAAATATATATTCAATTATCCGGAGTCAGGTGCGGTCTCGTTGCTGGTCGGTTAAGAGAGATTTTATTGTATGTGAACGGAGCCATGGTTGTATGTATAAAACGAAAAAAAAAACATAGTTTTTCTTTTCCCACCCTTTCCTTTTCAATAGAAATAGGACGCTAGGCGAAAATTAATTTTTTGATTGAGGTGGTATTAATATAAAATTAATGTTTGATTGAAGTACTATTAATGAATATTAATTAAGAAGTGATCATTAGGTTTGATCTAATTATAAATCATTCAATAGGAATTATCAAACTTATTTGGCCTGCAGATATCGAACTAATGTGGATTACAATAATTTATAATCAGTACTCAGATTATTTTAAATACGATTCGACACCTAATGCGATGTATTTTATTAATCAGATTTTAATAAATTCTTACTATACTTTGAAATTAAAATCTGATCGATATTGAAAATACGGTTTTCATTTATATAATGTGAAGCGCGCTGATATTTATCAGCACAGAGTTTAACAATAAATGATGACTGGTAACTTAACTCAAACTTAACAAATGATTTCAAACGTCTATAACTATTTTTAATTAGCTCATTTATAATCATATAAATAATTAAAAGTAAATATTTAGAAAAAGTAACAACTTTTTCAGAAATATTTCTTCGACAGGTTTTCTTGAACTTTACCAGCAACCTAAAACTTATTTTATAATCCATTTCATAAAATTCTAGGAAAATAAGTACTATTTAATAAGTACTATTTAAATTTAAAAACAAGTCCTGAGAAAAATTTGTTTACTTGTAAGAAACACGGACAGATAGTACTCGTGTTAATCATTACAACATACGGTTATAATGAACACCAGCTGACTAGCAAAATTTCCTAGTTATTAAATATTATATCCGAAACACATTAATCTTGGATGGATACTAGTAAATTAAAGTCGGTGTGGCAGTGTGCTTGTTATAGTCATGGCCTCGTTACAAATGAATTCGACTTTATTTACACAAAATTCGAAAATGAGTTATAAACCAAACCGAGTACGAAAGCAATCAACATATTAAAAAAATACCGAAATCTCGTGATAAAAGACAGCAAATGCATGAGATATTGCATTTAATTCAACTGAATATGGAGCACACTGCACTCTGAAAATAACGTATTAACGAGCAAGGATTATTGATAACGATGCCTTATGAAATACCGAAAATGAAGAGTCCAAAGTACTCCATATGGAAACTAATGCAATGGAAATGAAAAATGTGAAGAACACGGAAAATGTATTTATTACGGCATGTTATTAAAATCCAAGCAAATGCATATGCAGAATAGCACAGCGTTCAAATGAATCAGAAAAGATTCCTGTTAAGCAGTATTATAGCTTAGGATAATTATGCAGCAGTTAATTATCTAGCCTTAAAATCATATGAACCCTTTCGACCATTAAGCCAAAATCAGCATGCGGTTAAATGGGCCGATTCGTTTCTCTCCCATGAGGGACAAAAGGTCACCAAGACAAGACAGCGCACCATCTCCAAGGAGCCAAATCTGAGGTCCTGGTGCCAACGACTTGTCGAGGCAGACGCAGTATAAAAATAACGCCGTCACAACAGCTCCGGCTGGATTCAGGTGCAAGAGATATTAGTCTTTGCCTGGCACCCACTCAACATGTATAACTTGAAACTGAAATCAGCATAAAAAATCAGAGGGGGGGGAAATGGTAATTGCACGATACTCATGCAGCACTGGGGGAAAAACACAAGGCAGGAAACTTTTGATTCAGACAAAGCTTCCTTTTAAGGAATCCCTAATTGCAAATAAGGTTATGAACTACATTTCCTTTACAAAGATCCTTCAAGCAGTTATATTTTTAGAATCGAAGGATATTTAAAGGAGAATTGTCAAATTAGAGGAATAATTAATTATGAAAGTAGTTTTGCAAAGATTAAAGCCAGAAAGTACTTGCGATAAAATGTTATCCAAAAAAGAAGCACGATTATTTTCATTTTCTGCTCCTTGAGGGAAGGAGGGAAAGGAGGTCGAAGGGGAGAAAGACGGGAAAAATCTTATTTTAATACTCTTCTTGAGTTAAAATAATGGTGGCCAACTTCTGAAAATGATAGAACCAATTTAAAGTGAGCGCTGGCTCCGCAAGTTGCACAGCACTGTTTGCCAATATTTAAAAATTCCTAGTAGCATATCCTTGAAACTATACTTATTACGTAAATACTAATTATGTACATAAAAATAACATCTCTTTTGCTAAAATAAACTTAAAACTTTAAATTGTAGTGATAGTACCCCCCTCTTCGACAACAGAAAGAAGAAAAATAATGCGGTGGCACAGAAAATCGTTAACTCATCATCAACCATATGCATTTTTTTATCTTTCAAGCTAAAAACGTTGCGTTTTAAAAGAATGAAACCCAATATGCTAATTAATAATAGCTTCACAGTTTTCAATGATAACTACACTGGCAATGAAACATCTGTTCTTTGAACAATGGCTTCATTTTGAACATTATTAATATCAGTATTGTAGCTATTATAGCAAATGGCATTCGCATAAAAATAAGAAAAAGAAAAGTCACTAATACAGAGCATTTCTAAAGCAAGGAATTGATTTATTTTTTTTTAAAACTTCTAATTACTTTCAATAAAAAAATGAGTCGCACATCTTCCAATAAGGAAAAGATGAAAGTTGTAAAGTTGCATGCATTCTATACGTGCTTCTCCTGTAAGTTCACATAAATCAAAGCAATTACCAGTTTCATGCCATAGATGCCATAGCTGATCAAGAGTTAATGCACTGTTTAAAGAATTCATTGTCAAACCTCAATGCATTGTAGTAGGTATGTGAGGCAGAAACATAATAATACCGCGATCCG